CTAGGGAGTGGTCAAGGTCAGACCACAAACACACTCATGAAGAGAGAGCTGTGGGGGCTTCATCTCTGGGGACCTTGGCACAAAAACAGCCTCAGAGACATTGGTAGGATAAACAGAAGCCCTTTATGTGAAACAGGCATGGATATCTTTGACTCCTGGGGACACAGCAAACAGGGAGATGGAAGAGGACAAACAACCTCCCCAGCAGTCAGCCCCACCCAGCAGGTGTGGAAGAGAGACCTTGTGACAGAGGAGTGGAGAAGGCTCAGTCTTGCAGGCAAAGTCAGCCCCCCTCTCCCTACAGATGATCTAAAACAGGGCATCTGTAGGTGGCAGCAAGTTCCCAAAGGTAGATGGAACCCAAGGAGCCTCCCCTGGCCCGCATCTTCCTTGGATCATAGTGGAGTGGATAAGAGCACAGAACCTAGACCTCCACTCTCTGGCTTCAAATCTTGACTCTCTCATGCACTAGTGCGCCAACCTGGGCACCTAATACCTTTTTGTCTCAGTTTCCTCCTCTGTAAAATGAGGACAATAACAGTTACCTATCTCATAGAACTGCTATGAAGATTGAGTTAATATTTACAAAGTGCTTATATTGGTGCCTGGCACATAGTAAATGCTATATAAATATTACATTAAAAATAATAATTTCATTCATTCATGAATATTCCTTGACCAGCTACCACATGCCAGGCACTGTTGTAGGTGCTGGGGACACAGCAGTGAATACAGCAGGTGAAAATCCTTGCCCTCATGGAGCTTACATTCTGGTAGATGGAGAGGAGGAGTGAAGACAGACAATATACAGAATAAATGGAAACAATGTAAATAATATCAAATGAAATATATGGTATGTCAGAGCCAAGTGGAGACATGAGAGATGTGCAGAAGCTGGTAAGGCTGCTAGCCTAGTACCTGATGCAGAGTGGGCGCAGGAGATGGAAAGCAGGAGGATACCCTGGAAGAGCAGCAGAGTGGAATCCCCGGCAGAGACACTAGGGCTGCTGACCCCCTCAGGGTAACAATCATCATCATCACTGTCATATAATAGCAGCAAGCATTTATATAGCACTTATTCCATACCAGGCCCTGTTCTATTCACTTTTCATATATCATCTCATTTCATCCTTTTGGCAGTCCTATGAGGTTGGTACTGTTATCATTTCCATTTTTCAAGTGAGGGAACTGAGGCATAGCAGGGTTATGTAACTTGGCTTAGAGTGTTGTACAGTAGGTGAATGAGCTGGGATTCCAGCCCAGGTCATCTGGCTTCAGTGTAGGTAGGATGTTGGTAGGATGGACCTGCAGGTGGAGGGGACAGGACAGTCTGCCACGCCTCAGGACCAGGCAGGGACTGACCTTCACACAGACTGGAAGGAACACACACATCCCTAATACCTACACAGCCAAGACCCCATATACTTAACACACACTTCAAGACTGTTCAGGGGCCCCTGGGTGGTTCAGTCGGTTAAGCATCTGACTTCAGCTCAGGTCATGATCTCGTGGTCCATGAGTTCGAGCCCCATGTTGGGCTCTGTGCTGACAGCTCAGAGCCTGGAGCCTGCGTCAGATTCTGTGTCTCCCTCTTTCTCT